TTATAGTAGTTTCCATTTTCTATTCCATTCTCCCAATATATCCCATTTATAATATACCCCTATATAATCCCCATTATAGTAGTTTCCATTTGATTTTCCATTATCCCTATATAACCACGCAGGAGCTGCTCAAGGATTTCGTGAAGTCCATTTATGTCACCTGGTGGCGCATTGGGTAGCAACCTTGCTGGCACAGTCAAAGCTCTTGCGCAGAGTTCAGCTATTTCGGAAGGATCTAAGGCCATGGACGAGGAGAAAACTGGCGCCATCTCGTTCAGGGATATCTCTGCTGTCTTGCCTCACCACCTGGAAGATCTGGCAGATGTTGGGGTAGGTCCCTTGCTCTGGGAGAGTAGTAACATGCTCTGTGATCTAGCCTTATATTTTGAATCCTGAATCTCTTGAATCAGTCCCGAAAGCACTGCAACTTCGAAGGTTTGCCGGAAGCGAAGAAGATTTTCAACGAGTTGGACTCTGTGATGCACGGCGTGCCTGCAGCGGGCGGTCTCCAAGTAGGAAGGTTGAGCTCTACACTGCTGAGAGTCATCAAGTATCAATGGTGGCAGCTCAGCAATCCAAGGACACAACTTCTACAGGATATGTATCTATCCCACTGCAGCTTGTCTATTTCATTCGTGTGTCAAGCCAGCTCGATATGCAATGGTTCCTGACCCTTGGATGAGGTTTATCAGCCGGGTGGAAGACTACATGAAGTACAAGCCTGTTGAGGTCCTAATTTTTGAAAACCAACAGTTCAGGCCGGTCTTGCTTGGCTGCTTTAGCAGCATGTCAGGGTGCTCTTTTCCGATGGTCAGCACGAAGCAAATTGCTAAACATGTCATGCTTGTCAGGCTTTTGCATATGATCAAGAAGTTGGGAAAACGTAACATGAAGAACCTGACGAAGGCTTGCCAGCCGCAAAGGTTCCTGAAACGCCAGAGTGAACCTGAAGAGGTGTGCCAAAACCTTGAGATCATGGCATCCAACTTGGCGCAGGCCTGATTTCCTGTCCTCAGATGGGTACCTCATAGTATATTGTAATCTGTTGGGGGTTATATAGGGGTTACATAGGAATAATGGAAAATAACATGGAAACTACCATATAGTATATTTTGGTTCCAGGCTGTGGCAGAGTAGCCGCCTTGTTAGGCCTTCGAAGGCCAAGATGAAATGCCGGCCGCTGTGAACGAGCAAATTGAGAAGCAGCAGCGCCGGGTTGGGGCCGTAGATGTTACGAAAATCTGTTGTTGGGAGCCGTAGTTCTCTGATGTTCTCTGCGTTGGGCACAAGATTGACCCTTTTCTGCCACCTATGAGGTACGTTCATCTGCTCCTTGCCTGCATGAGACAAAAGCTGGGAGCAAAAGTGATACATGCATTCTTTGCGGTGGAGAGCCTCTGTGGTGTCTTCGAAGCAGAGGGTTCAGCCGAGCAGCGTTGGGTTTCTGCCCAGCAGGCTATGGTGTCCACTGCGGAAGCAGCCAGGGAGCTGGATGACAAGATGCTTTCGCTGCTTTTCCTGCAACAACCTTTTCAATGATTATGCTCTTGTGAAGGGACGCCGGGCCACAAATTCTAGGGGAGGAAGCTAGTAGCTATCACGTTTTAAGGCATTGCCGAGCCAAGGAACGATGTCTCGCCAAGAATTCCTCCGAAGGCATCGTAGTTTCTAACTTCAAAAGCTGAGTAATTAATTTGTTCTTTTTGGGGTGCTGCATTGCACCAAACACGAGGCTTTTCCTTCGGATTCAGGATCCTATTGCCTTTAAGGTACACAGAGGCAGCTGGCACCGCTGCCCCAAATCTTCCCTTCAAGAGTGTCATGATTCTCCGGCTTTGCACGCAGGGTCCTGTGCCGCTGATTGATAGCTTCTTGGGCGGCACTATGCTGGCTAGCAAATGAAATGATGCTTGGGCTGGCGCATGCCGCAGCATGGGTACGCCAGTGCAATCCTGCATAGAAGAGTCGAAAAGATACTGACAGGTGTTTTGGGCAGGTCTTGGCATTCACTCGTCTTGACAGCATTCTTACGCAGAATGGTGCTGAGGCCAAAATTTTATCATCGATCTCTGGGATCAGCTGCCCGGCTGTTTTATGTTTCATGTTTCTTGTGGTCATTCTCATCATCATCATCATCATGATCATCATCATGATCATCATGTCAAGGTCACTGCAGAAGCATCGTGCGGAAGTGAAGGAGCTCATAGACACAAGCGTCCGTTTGACAAGCCTCTAAGAGTTCTCGGTCTTCGGCTGCGCAAGCCAGAAGGTGTGGCTTCAATGTGACAAAGAGCACAAGGAAGTCTGGAAGCAGGCAGAGTGGGAAAAGACTTCCTGCAATGCCTGCAAGGTGGAGCAGGGCATAAACTGTGCCACTGCTTCAATCACAAGGACAAACTGCCCTCAGGATGCGTCAAGCGCCACCAAGGAAAAACCTGGGTTGCTGTTAAGGAACTTAAATTAAGTTACCATAATGGGTATATATATACATATAGTAAATAACAGGGTTTCGCCAATATAGTAACTTTAATTAAGTTCCTTAACAGCAACCCAGAAACTCAGCAACAGCTTTCTCGTTTTTGTCATGGCAGAGGGACTCGGCCTCTGCCTAGACATTGCAGAATGTCAATAAAAAAGCACAGAATTGGATTTTCGTAGTGCTAGGGCAAGCGTTCTAAAAAGACATGCTGGTACCCGAGTTCTAGTCTAGCACTGATCTTCCTACTCCCCCTCGTATTTTTAGCAGTTGAGGAGCTGATGTCACCATTGTCAGGGCTGGAGGGGGCTGAGCCTTCAAGTTTAAGAGCTTGATGACCATTGGCCTGTGTAGATGTAGCCTGTGTAGATGTGGTTCATCAATTTCTTTCATGAGGTGTTGCTTCTCCGCAAAGCAAAAAGCTGACGAGGACCAACGAACATGCACAGTTTGACTCTGAAACAAGATGCTATGAAGCTGTCAGCTGGGCATGACATGTCTCTTCGCACTTGCAGCATGCTAACGCATTAGGGAAACTGCAGGGAGCCTTGCGGGAGCATAGGAGGAGACCACAGACGGATTCGTGACGGAGCGCCGTGCCACTTGACTTGAAGTAGCGTTTGACATTTGCCTGCTGCCCGACAGATCTTTCCCATTGTGTTCAAGCAGCAACAGGCATGTGGCATCATGCATTTCAGAATTTCAGGAGGACCCTTTTGATGCAACGCTGTGTTCCTCATTGTAGTTTGGGATTTCATTCTTAGTCTGCCTGATTTAACGTACATGTCCGAAATGTTGTCAATCATCCAGCACTGACAGCTGGTGCTTGCAGACTTCTGTTGGAGGTGTCTTTTGTCTTTGTCCAGTTTGCTTCCAGGATGGGAATTTTCCAGGCTGTGGACGCTTTAGGATTGCCTGTGACTCTCCTGAGCAGGACAGAGACACAGCAGCCAACACCGTTAGATTTTCCAGGTTCATAAGACTGGGTTGCTGTCAGGGACATTAGATAAAGTTACCATAATGGGTAAGATGTAGTTAATAATAGGGTTTCTCCAACATAGCAGCTTAAGTTCCTTGACAGCAACCCAGTAGAATCTGAGCGGTGGCATCTGCCACCGGTGCAAGCCTTAATAAGTCTCATCCAAGCGGGAAGGTCGGAGGGACACAAGCTTTCTTCAGCAGCGGTACAAAGCATCATGTCACAAGAAGCCACGGCAAGCTCTGAATCAAGAGCTTGCGGTGAGGACAGCTAGTGGAACCGCGTATGACCCTAGACAGGCGACATGTTTCCCTTGCTCCACGGCTGACTTTCGCTTTCATGTTGAGATGCGCAGGCTCGCACATCTCTTCGAGACACACCTTAGCATCCTTAAAGATGTGAAACTACACGCTGTGTGTAAGGTGATCATGCCCTCCTCGCACCTGCCTTGTTCAAAATTCAGCAGTGGCAAATCGTGAGCTTGTCAAGATAGTTGATGGTATTGTCTCTCATTACTTCTCATTTGGCTACCATCCACATCCTAGAATCCTACCTCCAAACGTTATATGGTGATAGTCCAACCCACGAGCCATGTAACGATGCTGCTTCCAATTAGCCATGCACGGCCTTTTGCGGCAGACATTAGAAGAGCCTAACAACAAGTACACTGCCTGAATCTTAGGATGAGATCCAGTCTGCTCCTCAGGGACTGCGCAATGTCATATATCTTTTTTGGGTACTTTCTGTTGATGTGGCTGCGAGACATGTTGGGGTGGACACCTGGAGCAAGAAACCTACACTCCGGATCAGTACCGGCAGACATGAGCCCGAGACGCCAGCCACCAGAGACATCCGTTTGTGTGCTGTTGTCACTTTGTACTGTGCAGCCTCATTTGGCCACAAAAGCGGTACATCTTGCTTTGATCGTCATTCAACTTGACTGAGATATTGAGATCATACTCTAAGAGCGCAGCGCTCTTAAAATACAACTTCAAGCATCATCTTGTCCATGTACGTCATGTACAGGAAACAGCTTGTGACTCATGAGATCTGACTGACGTTCCTTGCTGAGCTCTCACGGTCCGCCGGCTGTTCTTTCAGCGAGTGCCACCTGACCACCGTCACATCAGACAGAGATCATCAGGATGGTCTGCCCTAGACTAGATGTGCTTGTTGGTGAGGCTGGGCAAGCCGGCTATTAGCCCACGCGCGGGACAGTCGCCAAGAGCCCCCCCGCCAGGCAACCCCAAGGCGGGACAAACAAGAACATGAGTTGGAAGCTGTGGACTGCTTCAACAGCTCTATTTGAGCATGCCTTGCATTGCATCGCTGGCGGCAGGTTGATCAATATGTTGTTACAGGGATTCAATTTGTCAAAATGATGTTGCCTCACTGCCAGCAGGAGAGCCAATCACCTTCTCGGAAGTCTTCGCCGCTTGCTGGCAAACATGCTATCATGTGAGCCATAGTCTAAACTCCTTAAAGGGGGTTATATAGGGAATCATATAGGGGACTTCTCTAGGGGGGATACTAGGACTTTAGACAGTAGCTCATGTGCTCCTGCAGCAGAGCGTTTAGGGCACACGCTGCCCAGGGACCTCGTGCCAGCATCCGAGAGCCAAAACCAGGCGCGACAGCCAAGCGCGTCTTATTGGGGTAATATGGGGATAATGGAAAACAAAATGGAAACTACTATAGTATATTGGGGTAATATTGGGATAATGGAAAATACCATGGAAACTACTTTTTTTTTATGTATGTGTAGCATTTGTCTTGATGCCTCGATGTTTGGATCGGCAAATCTGTTGGACTAGGTTCTTGTAATGCTGTGCATGTTAGCCGAAGCGGGCTGGCAAGTGGCCGCACACCAAGCACAAAGGGTTTAGAGCTTGGGCACAAAGGCTTTAGAGCTTGGGCACAAAGGCCTGCTCCAACGAGCAATGGCTTTGGAGGAGTCAGCCCCGTTTATGGGCGACGGCTATCTCCATGGTACGGAAGTGATACCTCGCAGGTATTATGTCTTGTCTTTTGATCCCTCGCGCCGTGGGTTGGGTAGTGTGACTTTCACCATATGTCAAAGCATGCTTACCTTGCAATTGCGACGTTTTGCAACAGTAGGGGGCTCATGAGGCATCATGAGGCTCGAGTCTCATTCGGCCACTGTAGATGCATTCAGCTATGCAAGGCTTCTTTCTGAGACTGATCGCCCTTCAGCCGTAGCCAAAGTGCTGAAAGGATCTAAGGTAGAGGTCTCGGAATGCTTTGCAGAACCTATGACAATTGCTGAGCGGCAAGAACTCGGCTGTGCATCGAAAATGTTCTCAGTTCTAACTCGAGTCAAAGCGTGAATGATATGTGCACATGCGCAAACGTGGCTGCAGTGAAGCTCTGCAGATGGCAAAACTGCTTGAGCGGAGCCGGTGGGACTGACATACAGCTTCTCCAACCTCATCTGCCCTCTGCACTGTGCTTTGACAGGCCAAGCCAGCACCATCGTCTGCTTTGGCCCAGTTGGTGACGCAGGACACGAGCTTAGACTTAGACCATCTTTTCTTGCATCTTTTTACACTCTACAGGCACGAGGTCTCGCATGAAATGTTTTAGTTTCCAGTCCAAGGCCGGTGATGAGAAGCCATCGCAGCCCGCGCAACACTCAAGCGTGGAGGCATATCGTTTTTGAGGGGCCAAGACAGAAGCCTGATTGCATCCAAGGCTGCGCCATCTTCACCCCAAACACGAGCACGGACGCCCTTGCCGCAGCAAAAGGTCCCGCTCCTTCCCCCACAGGAGCTAGAGTAGCACATGAGAAGGTTTGGAAGCTGCAGTACCTCTTAACGATTTGTACAATCGTCGTTGCTGCTGCGTGTCTGTCGAGGTCACACGCTATCATTCGAAGCGGGTTTTGCTGCGCTGATACTGAAGGAGCCAGAGTTCACCGGCAAGAAGACCTTGGTCTTGGACTTGGATGAAACGCTCGTACCAGCCCCAGTGGAAGCTCTGAAAGGGATGCAGCTGTGCTGCTTGCACGTTTTGTGTGTTCCTGCTTGCATGGCAGCGGACTAGAGTCGAAGGCCTAAAGGCCGCACACGACACTTCTCAGCGTCTCTTGATATGGTCTGTGCTCTCTTGCATGCTGGGCATTTGACCAGTTGCGCCCAGACGTCAGGTGCACAGTTCTTTCACGCCAGTGAAATGCGATCTAGCCACCGCCTTGGAATTGGACGCAGTCTTTAAAGCATGTTGCATCCATCTTATCACGCCATCCTTCCCCCAACAAGAACTACTAGAAGTGTGTAAACTCAGGTGCTCAGCGTTTTTCTCGGCAGCGAGGAGCACAAGGCAGCCATCAGTTGGAAGGATGTGGTTGTGGCAAGTCGGAGCACGGTGCATTCACTAGCATGAAGCGCATGAACAGCTCAAGAACTAGTCGCACGCGCTTTGCATTCATGCCGCGCAGTGAATAGCTTTACCACACAAACGGGTGGCAGCATAAGAGAAGTTGAAGCTGCGGAGCAGAGTGTCTGTTCTCCAGGTCTATGTGCGAAAGCGGCCGGGTGTGGATGAATTTCTTCATTCTGTTGCGAAGCTTTTTGAGGCCAGGTGACGTGAAGGTCAAATTCCTGGCTCGCACACGCGCTGTGACAGATGTTAGTGGTCCATCTTATTAGATCTGACGTTGCACTGCATCAAAGACCGGACGAATCGCTTTTCTCGCCGACAGGTAGCTATCTTCACTGCCTCAACCGCGCTGTACGCGGTGCGTGTCCTAGGGTCGAGAATC